CAACAAACAAAAACATTGCCACTTTACACTGTTTCATAGAACACAGAAATCCTGAAAGATGGACCAGAGATTTCTTCCCTGACCAGTCAGAAGTCTTAGGCAGAGAGAAAAGACTCAACGTCAGGAAAATGAGGCCCCTTTTTACTCAATATCTTAGCAATGTAATGTGAGCTTCTCAAAAAGATGAGGAAAAAAAAAGCATTTTAAACTACTCAAGTATTTACACAGTAATTATCCCATCCAGCCTTCCCAGTCACCCTTGGAAATTATCTCCAAGGCTATATGAACTCCGTTTCACAGTTAAACAAAGAGATTTTCTGAACTTTCCTTAAAATGGCATACCAGGTAGTTTACTGTGGATGTCAGATCTCTTTTATCACACTCAAAGCAGATTGTCTTTCTAGTCTACCTTTGTATAAACTCTTGAAAGGCATTGGTAAGTAAAGTGATATAATTTAACATTAATTATCGTAAATTTTCTTACTCATCTGCACCACACTGTCTCCAATCCCTCAATATTTGGAATTAAATCCTGATTCCAAGGCTAAAATCCGATGTCTGGTTTTGCTCTATGAATTCTGAATTCTTCTCTCATCTGTCCCTTCCCCACAAAATACAGGGGCCCACAAAGAAAGCATTGGGGATGGGCACAGTTCTCTAAATGAAGCAGTCATTTTTCTCCATGTTGGTCTGATCTGCAGCACTGAATTTCTGACTGGCTCACTCTGTCTGCATTCTGAGGGATTTCTTGTCTCTAAAGGCTGCAGGCTTCTTGCCTTAAACTCCTGTCCATAACCTGACACCCTGAGACACTGGTACCCTGTACAGACAGGAATCTGTATCTTCTGGCACCAGATCCTTCTCCCACTGGCCTTGAACCTCCTTCACCTGCATTCTTCCAGACCTGATTCATTGCTTCTCCCTGAAGTTCTACCCGAAGGAGTTTAGAATGTGTCACCCAAAAATATGCTGTTTTGGTATATTGATTACTTCAAGCTGAAGGCACTTAGAAAGAAAACAGCAAATGCTGAACTTCTCTCATCTGTCTAAAGAAAGATTCTCCAAAAGGAACCTCATCATTACCATCAATCACCTCCCTGGGAGTTTCATTAACCAAGGAAGATGAACTTTTATCACAGGAGAGGGAGACTAGGAGTTGACACCATGCCCAGATAAACTTTCTCACAAGCTATCATCAATTATCCCAAAGACCTCTTCTTTCCCCCAAAATCATTTCCTCTCCTCTAAGTTGCCTACATTCCCCATACCCTCTCCCATATGAAGAGGGTATATAAGCTCCTAAATCTTACTAGGTTTTTAGGTATTCACTTTTCTTTCCTGTGATGCCGCATAGCTTATAATAAATCTGTAGACCTTTTCTCCTGTTAAACTGCCTGTTGTGAGTTTATTTCATAGATCCACTTATCAAATGCTTATAAGGTAAAGGGAGAGTCTTTACTCCTTTACATGGTATTCCTACAATTCAGAGGTTACAAACAAAAGCCTCTAGACTTCAGACAGGTAGTATAAATGAATGACTCTAACCAGACAGACTAGAGTGTACTGGAGCATGACTGCTGGCCTCCAGGTCTAGAGCAGGAGGAATCTACTACTGTGAAATCCTTCCAGAGTATAGACCCAGGTTATCAGATGTACTAATTTTTAAGTGAAGACAGATATCCTTTTTTAAATGTGAAATTGGTAACTAACTGGTATGGCTTGAAAGTTTGTGTTCCCTCCCAAATTCATATGTTGAAATGTAACCCCTTGTGTGGTAATATAAGGAGGTGGGGACTTTGGCAGGTGATCAGGTCACAAGGGTGGAACCCTCATGAATGGAATTAGTGCCCTTATAAAGGAGACCCCAGAAAGCTAGCTCACCCTGCTGCCATGTGAGGACACTATAAGAAGACAGCCATCTATGAGGAAGCAGGTTCCTCCCCAGACACCGAGTCAGCCAGCACCTTGATCTTGGACTTCTCAGTCTCCAGAACTGGGAGACATAAATACTTGTCATTTATAAGACACAATTTATGATATTTCTGTATGGTATTTTATAGCATCCCAAAAAGACTAAGACACTAATCAAGTGATATTTCAAAATATTATGTGGGCACCTGATACAACCAGACATTCACCATTGTGCTTCAGTTTATGACTTCTACCTCTGATAATTGCTCAGCCCTGCTTAGAAAGTATAATTCTTACAATTTTAAATGACTTACTTGCAAAAAGAGAGGTAGGGCAGTGACATGGATTGCTGTTGGAGAATTGATGATGGAAAGCTTTGATAATCACATCAATGTATTACAAAAGTAATCTACCCAAAGTAGCACCATGAGACAGTTCTCCATGTGTCTCTCATATTTAAAGACATTAACAGCCTTTTTTTTTTCAGATCATCTGTTCAAGAATATTTGTATAGCATGGGGTCCCCAACCCCCGGGCCATGAACTGGTACTGGTCTGTGGCCTGTTAGGAACCTCCTGGCACAGTGGGAGGTTAGCAGTGGGCAAGGGAGCATTACCACCTGAGCTCTACCTCCTGTCAGAGCAGCCGTAGATTCGCACAGGAGCATGAACCCTATTATGAACCATGCATGAAGGGATCTAGGTTGCATGCTCCTTATGAAAAACTGATACCTGATGATCTGGAGTAGAACAGTTCTATCTCAAAACCACCCTATCAACCATCCATGGAAATATTGTCTTCCATAAAACCAGTTCCTGGTGCCACAATGGTTGAGGATTGCTGATCTAGTACACAGCCTTGGAGGATACATGTGGAGGCCCTCCCTGGAGCAACACACAGAAATGCTAATGGTCTGTTATAGAATAGTCACATTTTCTAAGCTCAGGTTCCTTTTATGTAATATAATCTTTTGCACTATTTGTGTTACTCTGCGAGAACTGTGGCTCAGGAAACCAGCAAAGATGCTAATATACTGGTTATTATTATTGCTTTAAAGTCAAGTCCTTGGTCTCTGACCCAGGAGTTTCATGACATTTCCTAGTATGCATAAAACAGTAGTAGACTAACATATAAAGTTGTAAATGCAATAAAATCTCAGATTCTTTGTAGTTCTTGACAAACAATACTTGGGTTTTTTTTCTTTAAATTCTAGCCATAGTAGCTGCTCTAAAATCAACAGTCTGGAATCTTCCCTATGTTTATCACATTTATCTGAATCAACGTATTTCTCCTTTGCTTTTGAAAGTACAACAATGCATTATTCTCCATTGAAACAGTCATGAACTTTCATCATTTCAAACACCTCAATCTCTTTATATATCATTGTTTTTATCTATTTTAGGCCTTCATCTTCACTTTTAGACAATAGCTTGGTACTTACCAATAAAGCAGAATGACTAGTAGGCAGACTGTCAACCTATGCTGCCTCGAGTTTCAAACTGTGGTTTTCCACCTATTGGTTGTATTACTCTGGACACATTATTCAATCAGTACGTGCCTCCATTTTCTTATTTATAATATGGGAATAGTAATAATAATTAATTCTGAGGATTATCTGCAAATTAAATCAGTTTACACATTTAGTGTGTTTAGAATAGTATATGGTTTATAGCAAGAATGTAATACATGCCACCAATTATTATTCAGTTGAATATTTGTTGAAAAATTGTGTTATGTTCTGACTTTAAATGCAGGATGTTTGTGATTTACAGTCTATAACTGAGAAGCTGAATGATAATTTAGGGCTATGAAGGTGCTTGGTCCTTTTGCAGTTCAGATCCCCAATAGATTAGAAAAACACTTTTTTATAAACTTTGCCTTTTGGAAAAACCACCACCTCATATCCCAGTCTCCTACAAATGACATGAAAAACCAAGCATCAACCCCTCTCCAGTCAAAATGTAAATGTACAACTATGCTACAAAGTTTAAAACAAAGTGTCAAATAACTCTTCCACAGATGACTGTGTCCACTCAGAATGCTTACATATTATCACATACATATAAGAAGTTTTCTTCACAGTCCTACTAAAAAGTCAATCCATCAAATATTACCTGTCTGAAGCAATGTTTCCATTGCTGTTTTCACTATGTTACGCCATTTATCTTGATGGCCTAGAATAACATCTCCTGATTTTCTAAGAGCGGTCCTTTCCATTTTTCTAAGCCTGTGAAAATTAAAATAAAACTTCCAAAGGAGTAAAGCAAAAGAGAGAGAGCTACAAAAATCTGATTTGGTTTTCCTGCAGTCTTCCTCCGTCCCTATATCCAAGCAGCTAATCTCCTCTCAAACAGCACAATAGAACAGCTAGACATAAAGAAAAGGAGATAAAATTGGCCCGCCAGTACACTGCTCTTGCTAATCTGGACCATTTACATAAGGGTTAGAAAGCTTGTTTTATCATTTAAACAGGCTTAAAAGCCTCTTTGCAAATGAGATTTAGTTCCTATGAAAGAATGAATTCTAGCTATTTGGTGAGTTTCTGCTAGACCAGCACTGGGAGCTGACTTGGCAGTAACTACAAGCTACTTCTTTGGCCACATACAATATATGCAAAGATTGCTTCCAGCTGCCAAAACTGAAAAGCATCAAGCTGATTAAATTCTTTCCAGGAGTTGAACAGGATGAGGGGCAGGTTAAGAGGTCAATAATATCAGATCTTAAACTGTACCTGGCCAAACTCTTCCTCTATGCAGGTGCTTTAAAAGTGGCTTTGAATGTACAGAGCCCTTAAAATTTCTTTGAAAGAGAACAGAATGGTGGACAGCAAATGAAATTCAGAGACAGAGAACATAAATGGTCTCAAGCTGTGAAGTGAAGACAATATAAAGTCTTTGATTCATTGTTGGTCTGAGTGGTACTGGGCACAGGATAAACTGCATAACTAACTCCCTAGCCAATGTTAGCACAAAAGATCACTGGAAGGAAAAGATGTTCTTAACACAGAAGAGTACAGTCTTTGCATCCAAATCTTAGATTTTAAAAATCAAGATCATGTTTATATATACTATACCTATTATGTCTTTTACCTGGCACACCTTGAACAGATGTTCAGTGTGACCTTGGCCTGAGGCTCAGCAGGGTAAGTAGGACGGCCTTGGTTAAATTTGCTCCCAGAAGGTACCAGGGTTGTTACTCCCTCCATTCTTAAATCATTAAGATCCTCTGTAACAACACAAACAATTACAGAGAAAAAAATTAACTCTAGTGGAATTGAGGAGAAAAGTTCATGTTTTCAGGTATCTGCCATTAGTTTGTTAAGCAAAACAATTTATTTCCCCTTTGCAAAAATCTAACTTCATGTATCAATTATATTTTTCAAATTATTTCTAGAGGTAGTTGGACACAAATTACATATGAAGATTTACAAGAGACAAAATGATAAGAGACTGAATATACAGAGAGTGAGCAGAGCACATGTGACCACAGACCACTGACTCACAATGTCTGCCATACCCACTGGGGAAAGCAAACTATAGCCTCTGCATCAATCAGCCCCAAGTGGTCAAAACTTGGTCAATGATTGCCAGCTTTCCTATTTTTTGTTGTTGTTGTTTTCAACTCAGAACTAACCACACAAAACCAAATATGTTTCAAAACCAATTGCATAAATCTTCCGCTTCTAATCAGTTTGCTTTCAGGTTTTCCATCAACCTCCAATCAAAATGTAACTGAAGACTTCCCGTTTTTCATTCTCAATGTTTGCTTTCTACATTTACCTGGGGAGGACAGCAGTAAGCCTGAATAGTCATGCCCCAAAGGTTTGCTGAAGCCCACTTCTGTTTTTCCCAGGCCCTCAATCAAGAATGAAAAGACCTAAATTTTCCCCTGAGATTCAGTTCTGATGCAATATGTATTTGATCTCCTACTTCATTCAGAGAAAAAGGAAGCTTGTAAAAAGGATTCCAATTACTTACTCTTGGCTTTAGCACAAAAGAGATATAAAGTTTCAAAAGATAAATCATAATTTTTCCAAGACTCTAATTCATTATTGAAGGCATAATGCACGTGAGGAGGAAAAATCACTGTCTTCTGATGACTAAAGACCATAAAAACATCCTAGATCCCTCAAAAAACAATCAAGAGGATTGCATGTTTTAATCAGATATTACAAGCAAGTGTCAAATTCTTCTTGAGATGGAGACAACTCAATCTAAACAGGAACTGGCCTTTTGGAATCTGAGGAAGGCTTGTCAACAGACTTCTTCCATAGGCACCTCCAAGTGAAAGCCTTATTGTCTACTTGTGCGTAAGCAAACTGGAAAAACACTTAGGGTTTTAACCCAACTTTATGGGAGTCATCAAAACGTATCACCTTGACCTGGTTACTAAGGCTTAGTCCCCTTGTTTAAGAGCCTAGGTGCCAATTCGAAACCTGGTGCTTCTGTAGAGCTAATTACAGGCTCCCCTCTTAATCTCATGGTTCCTTATGCAATACAGACATTACTGCTGCCTCTGAACACATACCACTTTTCAGCCAGCATTAAACACTCATGAGAGTTTGTTACTCTCTCCCTCTCACATTACTATTCTCCACTAGAACACCCTAGTTTTGCTACTCTCCTGCCCTTACCAGAAGAATTCAACCCATGATTTTCTTCCCTCAGTTAGGATACTTTCTACACTTCAGTATTTTTAAAGACTGCCATTGAAAACCCCGACTCAATATTATTTGTTGCTGGATCATATTTCAAACTTGAAACTAGAGATTATCAAGCAGGGTATTCTACCACTAATTTATGTGCCTACGAAATATAGTTCTCTATCAGGTAAAATTAGTCCAGATGGCAGAGATACTGTACTTACCTGAGTCTGTTAACTGGACAAAGACCTCAGAGTAAATATATATACAGGTGCAATTTAAAAAAAATACATGACTTTGGGATGCTTTGGAAACAAAGGGTTTCTTCTCTGCTAGAACCTCCATCAAACATTGAGAAGATATTTAAAATACTTTTAGATATACTCCTGTTCCATTCAGAGGTAGTTATTATGAAGATTGAAGCTAATGATAATATAAATAATATAGAAACTAAAAGAAATGTTATAACATATTATTTTGCCAAAGAAGCAGCCTTAACCAAGGTTATGAACCTACCTACAATTTTAAAGAATAAATACCTGGAATCATTCTAAGACACAATTATAAAATATCAACATTTAGCCCCTGATTCTGAAAAATATAAAAATACAGTTCTAGCTTTATTCAGATAATCTTTGGCATTTTTGGTGGCACCAGATGGCTTCAAATAAATACTAGTTAAATTTCTCCATGGAATGACTCATCATGGTACAGATAAACTGGTTACAATCTTAAAGCTTCAGAGTAGACAGCTGACTCGAGACCTTCAGAGGGAGGTAACGACCTCAGAGAGTAGACAGCTTCTGCCCACAATATTGGATCAAGATCTCTGGTGTAATTGCTACTTCGTTTTTTATCTACTTAATGACTATCATTCTTCTCATTTTCTAAAGACCACTGATAGTCACCCACCCACAATGACCCTTTTTTTCTTTTCTTTTATTCTTATTAAAATTTCAGATTAGAGCATAACCATTGTCTAATACTAATCTTGGATTATTCTAAATAGTAATCTTCAAGCTCACTGATTGCTGGATATGCTATCCCTCACCAGACTACCATCATCAAGAACCCTTGGAAAATTTCAGTCTCATCAAATGAGACCACAGGGAATTAAAGCCAATGGTACTTCCACTTGAACTAACATGGATAAATCAACCTGTGACTTTGCGAATGTCCCTCTCACAAAAAGAACCTATTACTCTATTAATTAGACTTTGTAATTCTAAATTTGAATTCAGCAACCTTCATAAAAAGATGAATCAATTACTTGTCATCTGGAAGAGACTATGAGATTCACATATGTATCCCAACTAATGAACAGCCTTGATTCCAACCTCAGGTCATGAACAATTTCTTTTTTCTGGATCCCTGCATGTTCCTACCACACACTACTTTCCTTGCGGCTAGATAGCTAGTCCTGCTTGCTTCATGTACACATACCTCATGCATTTTAAAAACAGCATTACAAATCTTACCGGTACACAGACCCCTAATTCTAAAGATGATCAAGCCTGGAAATTTTAACTCTAATACAAGCTCCTAAAGGAGGCCACCCTTTATTATTGGAGCACTTTACTTGGAGGTGTTATTGACTTATTGTTTATACAAACAACCAAGGCAGTTTCCAGCAATAGGAATCATGCAAACAAAAGCCTATAAGACATATATCACTAATGCTGGCAGAAACTGTAAGTGATACTACCTCTACCTAGATGGAATACAGGTCCATCTCAACTGTTGGCAAGACAATTGAACAATCACATTGTTTTGGATTTTTTTTTTTTCACTAGTCACAGCGGTATCTGTAGCATTGCTGATACTTCTTGCTATACTTGGATCAGTGAAACAGGTAAGGTAGAAAAGTCTACGTGCCAGCTTGACAAAAGCCTACTTGGTTCTCTAAGTTTGGTCCTTGTGGATTGTGAGATTTGTTATTTTACCTTGGGTTGGACAATTCAAGTTCTTGGTTCTGAAGAACCAAGTCAATAACCCCTCTGGTTCTGAAGAACCAGGTCAATATTAAAATGACTTAAATTGTTTTTGCTTTTATTATGGTGTTCATGATGCTGGTATATTAAATTCCATATAAAGTCTTAAAAGTTTGTACATGGCCACTCTCATCAGATGACCACAATGATGATGCAACAACAACAAAAAATAAGATCTTGTGATATGAGTAAGAGTACAAGTGAACGAGAATCAAGCAGTGAAGGTCTGGATCTCTCACCTTACCTTTTGAACAAAAAAGAGTGACCAAAAGAGGTGAGATTGAATATGCATACAGACAATAGGTGGATCATAGGCAACATTAGAATATTGACCCACAACCTCTGCAGCAATTGGCTCAAAACATTCAGGACTTGGTCAACAAAGATCAGTTTCCCTTGTTTTAATGCTATTTCCAACTCAGAACCAACTGGAGAAAGTCAAATATGCTCCTCTCTAGTAAGCCTTTCTTTAGCTGTCTCATGTCAACAACTTCCAATCAGAACATATTCAAAGCTGTCCCTTTAAAAATTATTATTATAAGGTCTTCCTACTCCCATGTATCCCTTTGGGTCTCTGGTAAATGCAAGTGATAGTGGCTGACTCCCATGCTATAACAAGCGCTGAATAAATAGATAAATGCTCTCTGCTTATTCTCATTTGTGTAGTCTTTATTTCCACAATGGCAACCTTCAAATATCTAAAGGTTTGTCATAGAGAAGAGATATTAGAGTTCCACCTGCTCCTGAAAGGAATGGGTATAAGAGGAGAGTGTGTTTCTCATCAGTATAACAATCTTCTAACATTTATAGTTGCTCAAAGGTATACTGTACAGTGCTGTGTAGGAGATGTGATTACCCTGTTCCTGCAAATGTTATAAGCAGAGGCTGAATAATTGTTTATAGTATGCAAATTGGTGTTTTGCAGAAGCATTGTACTAAATGGTTTAATCCAAATCTAAGCTTCCCATACATTCTCATTATAATTCTGTTAAAATACATCTGTTAAAAAGAAGACATTGATTATGTAAAAGAAGAGTGTTTGTTTAAATGAAGCAATCACCTTTTGGGGGCCATTTTCTTATGGATTAGAACTAAAAGTTGCTTTCTTGGTTTTTATCCTGGAGCCACAAAGCACACCACACTGACTTATTAATGTCATTCATATTGATATGAAGAAATTATGTGGTTCATTCTGGGTTAGGGAGCCCAGACATGCTGGCCCCTCATTACCTTTGAGGATGTGTTCAAAGGCCAAATCCATCAACTATCTACTTGCTTCTGTACCATTTTTCTACTAATAAGATACAGAATGATGGTATGGAGCTCCATAACAATTATCTAAGCATTTTTATATTGTTTGACATATGTAGAGAAGGTAATAAGACATGAATTTTATGATGCAGTTTTATGAGCAGTAAAAACTCCCTGCCAGAACTCTCCTTTCATGTGCAAATTTGAGTGTATTTAATGAAAATTTTTGAAGATTTTCTAGCAGCTCCTCACACCCCTTCTGGATAGCACCTATTTTTTCCAGTTCAGAATAACTGTCACAGTGTGAAAGAACAGAGAACCCTAGAGTCAGAAGCCTTCTG